CGCAAAGTCCGTGGTCCGGCTTCGACCGTCAACGTCGTTGGTTGTTCCTCATTTGAGGGAACAGCTACCTGCTGACTTCGTACCCAGCCTCCGGGCCTATTCTGCTTTTCAAAAAGAGAGATGCGAGCAGATGGAAAGCGTCTAGAGAGGTGGAAAGCAGATGAGAGGCCAGTCAATCCACCGCCGAGGATTGCGATACTTGGCGGTGATGACATTTGGAGAACATGCTAAATCCGAGTTCCGACGACAACAACATTTCCTTCCGCTGCTGCATGCGTATTGAACAAAATCAAACTGGCCATGGCCCTAGCTATCGTTGTGCCACCAATTAATTGTGGCCAGGATTCCTTGGATCTTCAATTGTAAAAGACTCGATCAACATGGAGACCAGCATTCGCAATGGGCCCTCATTCTCTCATGAGCAATTCGACGTTACGAACTACAACTACTGGGGAAAAACTGGAGGATATATTATCACGCAGGTACAATCCCATTCATGGCTCGGGATCTTTTGGTGGACCGTACTCCTCCTTCGCACCTCTATCGACACGATCTGGAGTCCTTTTTCTTTATCCTGGTCTGGGCCGCTGTTTATTACGATTTGCCACACGGAAAAAGAAAGGAATACGTAGTCGAGCTCGAAGCATGGCATTCTCCCTCTCTTTTGTCATCACAAGATGCGAAAAAGCTCTTTATCCTCGACTACGCAAAAAGGAGTCAGATCCTGAAGCACGTCAACCCTGCCAACCATCTTCTGTTGCCTTGGATTGATGCGTTGTGGTTCCGTTTCAACGAAGCTCAGCGTGATTTTAAATGTCCGGACAACGAATGGGACGACAGCACCCTGGACATCACTTTCGAAAATTTTATGAACACGATTGGTCGCGCGCCATGGGGATGATCTGCAGTCAGCATAATTGGCACAAATGTGAGGTGGTGGCGGGGTTTAATTCGTGCATGGATCTCACTACTACTACTAAGGACTACCATGTCAACGTTGTCAACTTTCAAGCCATAAAATCATTGTCATTGTAGAAATGCGGTCAAGGGAGAGCGAAAATTGCCATTTGTTGGATCACGATATGTCCACTATAAATGCCACGCCGAGGATTGCGAAACTTGGCGTTGAGGAGATTGGGAGAACATGCTCTCACCAGTCATGCTCTGAGCTCATGATCACTCCTCTCAGGTTCGGCTGTCAACTACGTTTCAACCTGGTTTTCCAACCATGCATTTGGCCAACATTGTATCACTATCTACGTCGTAACTTCGCAAAAAGTTGCACTAAAGTGCCTTCGCTAGGATTCCCTTCGTCGCTTTGTCGATATGGCTCGGTCCAGTCTCAGGAATCACGTTCAACGCAGCCTTCAAAAATCCATCGGTGTTAGTACTTAGCCTCAATGCACTTCATCTGACATACCTTGAGCGCTGCTTTTGCCTCCGGACCAAGGACTGCACCAGCAATGGTACCGAGAACTTCCTTGACATCTGCCATTCCTTTCATAAGTTGGCCGATAACCTTCGTGATCCCTGCGTTCCCAACAGCTGCCAAAGCCTTCATCCAATTCGTGGCGAAGAAATTGACAGCAGCGTTATCACAAGAACAGAATCCATTGATACAAGACGTGGAATGCACCGTCTTGGAGTTGGGGGCCACTGCAGGACATGAGCAGTCGGTGACCCTTTTACAGGATTTCTTTCTGCAGAACGCAGATGGTCGGTCACTTATACTCAGACTCCAAACAGTACACTTACGTCGGACTATTGGGAACGTTTGCAAAAGGTGCTGGACTGGGAGAACGAGGATTCTAATGAACGAGGTATGTTCCTGCATGATTGTCGTCGCGAATGACTAGGCTTACCAGACTCTCTTGATCAGGAACGGGAGACGCCCATGAGATGGCAGAAACTGCCATGAGTGCCAGAAATATTCTGTAGACGTTGAAGAGCATGTTGATGATGTGGGTTGAAAAGTCTTTCGACAAGTGACAATTTAGTAGACTACGGTCGAGAATGAGACGTTGGTTTATGGGGCTTGGATATGGAACGACCTGCGTTGGAAGATCAATTGGCAATCGTTGGAGCTTAGCTTTTAAGCCCTGACGTGCCGTGAATCAAAAGTCCGACCTACGAGGAAGTTCACACTGAACCTACCTTTGCATCAGGTAGTTAGTACTTTAGTACTTAGTCTCCAGATGTTTCAAACATATCACCCACCATGTTGATATCATTTACACACTCTCGTGTACATTTACTCCAATCTTCGCAGGCATATCTGCCGATGCCTGATCCTGCATGACGATCATAACTTGAAACATGGAGAGAACCAAGAACAGAGTTATTTGTCCACGTTCAGCAAAAGTTACTTTGGGATCTGTTCACATCACGATTTGGTCTATGTTAAGGTATATGTAGATGTACAGTGGTGTCTTTGTCTTCGACGCCGAACTAAAACGTTGATCTTTTGTATTCTTGACGATAGCCCACCGCGAGGGTCGAACTCGCAGCCTTCAGATGCCCTCGCCTAGTAAGAGTCTGACGCTCTATCCGATTGAGCTAGGCGGGCTGTACAGGAGGTTATACTAGCCCCCTCACGATGGCGTCTTTCCAAATATAGACCTGCGACACACCGCAAGGAATGATCAAAAAGTTCAATAAATGAATAAATTTTCCTTCCACATCAAAATGTACATTGTTTTGGAACTGGGCCTCGAGGGAATACCGACATTTTTCAACCAGAGTTGTTTGCCAAAAATAGTGGCGTGTTTGCAGATAGCCCACCGCGAGGGTCGAACTCGCAGCCTTCAGATGCCCTTCCGTAAAAGTCTGACGCTCTGGCCGATTGAGCTAGGCGGGCGGTGAAATATCGGGGTATA